GGCAATATATACAACTTCTACAACTACACAGGCAATATATACAACTTCTACAACTACACAGGCAATATATACAACTTCTACAACTACACAGGCAATATATACAACTTCTACAACTACACAGGCAATACACACACTGGTAGGGAAACTCATAATTAGTACAAGATCTGGTAGGGAAATTCATGCTCAGTACATAATCTGGTAGGGAAACTCATAATTAGTACAAGATCTGGTAGGGAAATTCATGCTCAGTACATAATCTGGTAGGGAAACTCATAATTAGTACAAGATCTGGTAGGGAAATTCATGCTCAGTACATAATCTGGTAGGGAAACTCATAATTAGTACAAGATCTGGTAGAAAAAATCATAATTAGTACAAGATCTGGTAGGGAAACTCATGCTCAGTACAAGATCTAGTAGGGAAACTCATGCTCAGTACAAGATCTGGTAGGAAAACGCATAATTAGTACAAGATCTGGTAGGGAAACTCATGCTCAGTACAGGATCTGGTAGGGAAACTCATGCTCAGTACAAGATCTGGTAGGGAAACTCATGCTCAGTACAAGATCTGGTAGGGAAACTCATGCTCAGTACAAGATCTGGTAGGGAAACTCATGCTCAGTACAAGATCTGGTAGGGAAACTCATGCTCAGTACAAGATCTGGTAGGGAAACTCATGCTCAGTACAAGATCTGGTAGGGAAACTCATGCTCAGTACAAGATCTGGTAGGGAAACTCATGCTCAGTACAGGATCTGGTAGGGAAACTCATGCTCAGTACAAGATCTGGTAGGGAAACTCATGCTCAGTACAAGATCTGGTATGGAAACTCATGCTCAGTACAGGATCTGGTAGGGAAACTCATGCTCAGTACAAGATCTGGTAGGGAAACTCATGTTCAGTACAAGATCTGGTAGGGAAACTCATGCTCAGTACAAGATCTGGTAGGGAAACTCATGCTCAGTACAAGATCTGGTAGGGAAACTCATGCTCAGAACAAGATGTGGTAGGGAAACTCATGCTCAGTACAAGATCTGGTAGGGAAACTCATGCTCAGTACAGGATCTAGCATTTAAACACATGAATGTTATTACAGGATCCAGGCTTTAGATAGTGTCCATGCTTGGCACTGGCAGCCTACTGTTGGAATGGATATGCTGTAAATAGTCTGTCTCTTTGCACTCATAGTTATGCTTGGATGTCTTAATAATTGTGACAATTGGTATATAAGTGCACTTGCTTTCAGAACCATTCAGCCATATGTGTAGTCAGCCAGGTGCTCTATTCTTGCATTGTTTCGATTTTGTTTGCATTGACCTTTATTTTATGATATTGGCATGAAAATGGAGTGGTCTATCAAAGCATGTGTATGCTAACACCATGCATCAAGGGCCCTGACATCTAGTTTATGTGATGGGCTAATCTTTGTTTAAAAAATGTGAGCCCTAAACTGAATATTGTGTTGCAACTACCTGGCAACAAGGCATTTTCTCAGTCTGTATCAAGATCTTCCTGGCATACTTTAGCCAATTTAACAGCTACTGGAAATATAATGCAAACATAACAACTAAATAACATACAAGAAATCTGTAACAGACTTAGAAACACATGCCAATAAAGTCGTAAGTAATCTAGAATATATATATTTTCAGAAAACCAACCAACTATGTGCTTTTCTTGGCAAAGTAAAAAACGGCTATTCTCTGAATAACGGTCGGTAAAGATGGCGGCTGCAAAATATCCTTTCGAGCCACAGTCACGTGACCTAATTTGCGGTTCTCCGGCGACTACCACCACTGCCACGAGTCCCCCACGCCGCGTGGATTGGGGCTAAACTAGATGGCTAGGACCCATGAGCAGCAGCTACCGCATCTCCTGAAGCTTTGCTCGTGAGTCCTAGCCATCTAGTTTAGCCCCAATTCACGCGGCGTGGGGGACTCGTGGCGGTGGCGGTAGTCGCCTGAGAACCGCAAATTAGGTCACGTGACTGGCTCGAAAGGATATTTTGCGGCCGCCATCTTTGCCGACCGTTATTCGGAGGATAGCCGAAAAAACACAACATCAGTGATGGCTGTATATTTACAAAATGAAGAATGCTATTTAAAAAAAAAAACGCTTGCCATCGGAGAAAACAAACACACAGAAACAAACATTCAGAGAATTAAGTCAAATTTTCAAGAATATTCAATGAATTCAAGTTAACCATTCAGAATTTCAATTCGAGCCAAGTATTTAACTGGGCAATACATAATTCCACACTCAGAAATTTTCAGAAACCTGCGTCTTGTGTGCGAATAAATGTTACAGACCTGGCTTTTTTTGCAGTCAGACGGCAGAATGCACTCTGCTTTAAATGACACCCCAATAAGTAGACTCCTGCGACAGGCCAGAGGATCTATTCCTGTTCTCCCCCACATTGGCCCACAGCAGCCTGTTAGGGAGCCAGTGGATCTATTCCTGTTCTTCCCCACATTGGCCCACAGCAGCCTGTTAGGAAGCCAGTGGATCTATTCCTGTTCTCCCCCACATTGGCCCACAGCAGCCTGTTAGGAAGCCAGTGGATCTATTCCTGTTCTCCCCCACATTGGCCCACAGCAGCCTGTTAGGAAGCCAGTGGATCTATTCCTGTTCTCCCCCACATTGGCCCACAGCAGCCTGTTAGGAAGCCAGTGGATCTATTCCTGTTCTCCCCCACATTGGCCCACAGCAGCCTGTTAGGAAGCCAGTGGATCTATTCCTGTTCTCCCCCACATTGGCACCCAGCAGCCCACAATGGGGTCCCTGAACAAACAAACGGACAAGCTGTGGATTTATTTCACAGATTTGTGGTTCAGTTGGAGAGTGCAGTTACAACTGACATCTATAGAAATTGTCACCGAAGCTATGGAGTCTGTGCTTTGTCTCTCACTCTCTGCAGCTGGTTAGTTTTATTGTGCAGTGATTGGGTCATATGATATTAAATCCAGTGCAGGAAAGTGTATGGTCTCAACTGTAAGCCCTCTAGTCTGACAGCTGAAACTGCAAATTGCGTGTGAAGTTTTAGAAATCATACATTCTCGGCCATGACATGGGGTGAGATGACCTCTTGCTTCTTCCTTTAAAGAAAATTCAAACACCCCTTGCAGACCATTTCTGCTGATAGAATCCTGACCACTTTATTGCAGGCAAATTATAAAGCCAATATGCCAAAATTGCTCTCTGAGACAATCAGCAACATCACAGAAACCCACTCATAACATAAACACACAAACGCACACAGGCTGGCAACACACAGATGTAACAGACACAAACACATACACGCACACAGGCTAGCAACACACAAACACACACACGCTGGCAATATAAAAACACACACTGGCTAACAGCACACATAAATAACACAAATAAACACACTCACACATGCTGGCAACACACAAATATAACACAGACAAATACACACACTCATGGTGGCAACACACAGATGTAACACACAAATACACACACACACATGCTGGCAACACACAGATGTAACACACACAAACATACAGGCTGGTAGCACACAGATGTAACACACACAAACACACAGGCTGGCAACACACAGATGTAACACACACAAACATACAGGCTGGTAGCACACAGATGTAACACACACAAACACACAGGCTGGTAGCACACAGATGTAACACACACAAATATACAGGCTAATGGCACACAGATGTAACACACACATAAACACACAGGCTGGTAGCATGAGATGTAACACACACATAAACACACAGGCTGGTAGCACACAGATGTAACACACACACAGGCTGGTAGCCTGAGATGTAACGCACACACATACACACAGGCTGGTAGCTCACAGATGTAACACACACAAACACACAGGCTGGTAGCACACAGATGTAACACACACAAACATACAGGCTGGTAGCACACAGATGTAACACACACACAAACATACAGGCTGGTAGCACACAGATGTAACACACACACAAACATACAGGCAGGTAGCACACAGATGTAACACACACACATACACACAGGCTGGTAGCTCACAGATGTAACACACACACATACACACAGACTGGTAGCACACAGATGTAACACACACACAAACATACAGGCTGGTAGCACACAGATGTAACACACACACAAACACACAGGCTGGTAGCACACAGATGTAACACACACACACAAACTGGTAGCGCACAGATGTAACACACACAAAAACACACAGGCTGGTAGCACACAGATGTAACACACGCATACACCCACAGGCTGGTAGCACACAGATGTAACACACGCATACACCCACAGGCTGGTAGCACACAGATGTAACACACGCATACACCCACAGGCTGGTAGCACACAGATGTTACTAACACAAACACACACACAAACACACAGGTTGGTAGCACACAGATGTAACACATACATATACTTAACATAAATGTAAGGCAGCAATTAAGGTAAGGGTGCATATGTGAACAAAAAGCCGGCACCAAAAAAAAAAAAGCAGACAACCACTCATGTGTGCTATCATAAAACAATTTTAATATGGGCTCTAAACTGTGAACACACTCACATGCTGGTGTATACAGTCAAATGTGAATGTTTAGGCAACCACACAGATAGCAAAGATAAATATGCATATATATATATTTCAATGAGTAAGAACCCTGATTGTATACGTGGACTATAAATATATGGTGTGATCAAATAGCTGATATTTCCATAGACATTTTGTTGTTTGAACACACGTGTAAATACATAAGGCATAATCCAGGTCATCAATTACATTGGTCACAACAAGATGCCCATTTGAAATGGAATTTAAGTTTTGGTTCACTTGATGTCTGAGTGTAATGTGTTGTTTATCTGTTGGTATTACTTCGCTTTTACTACTGGGTGGGGACAAATCTGTACATTTGCCAATTATACAGTCTTCAAACGAATGTCGAAAAATTGAAACCCTTTGTGAAGTTTTGTTGGAAAACTATATCATTTGTTAAGTCTATAGCCTACCACTGGGTGTGGAAAAACTTATATCCTTTGTCATGTCTATAGCCTACCACTGTTTGTAGACAAACTTATATCCTTTGTCAAGTCTATAGTCTAATACTGCGTGTGGACAAATCTATATCCCTTGTCAGCTATACAGTCTACCACTGAATGTTGAAAAATCTATACCCTTTGTCAGATATAGTCTATTAATGGGTGTGAGAAAATCTACATCCTTTGTGAAGTCTATAGTCTAGCACTGGGTGTGGGAAAATCTTTATGTCCTTTGACAAGTCTATAGTCTAGCACTGGGTGTGTGAAAATCTTTATATCCTTTGTGAAGTCTATAGTCTAGCACTGGGTGTTGGAAAATCGTTATATACTTTGTGAAGTCTATAGTCTAGCACTGGGTGTGGGAAAATCTTTACATCCTTTGTGAAGTCTATAGTCTAGCACTGGGTGTTGGAAAATCGTTATATACTTTGTGAAGTCTATAGTCTAGCTCTGGGAGTGGGAAAATCTTTATATCCTTTGTCAGGGTATGCAGCTGAACCTCAAATGCTTCTTGTCTTGAGGAATTAAGTTTCTGTTTAGGGGAAAACGGGCTGGGGGGGAGGGGGGAGGGGGGCTCATTGTCTGAACCGGGGTTCCTGAACAGCTAGTGCTGAAACCATAGACTTCATGGAAAGAGGCTGCAATGAAAGAGCAACGTGCTCAGTGCGGTTTTCTGCTTGAATGAGTTATGAGGTGGATTATCTTCACAGCACTCTGTCCACCTCCATAGGTGCTCAGATTTCCCCCTCAACATATTCACCAGCGTCGTGCGGTTAATAGTGCCAGTACTGTGCTGGCTGACAAGATTTTGTTTGCATCTGGTGTGTTTCTCATGCTTGGCTGTGCCAATATTTTCTTCCAATTATTGTATTCTTAGCAGTGATGTAGACACGTTGCTTCCAAATCTCTCCCATCTCTCTAAAGGCACTAACAATGTCTGCCTGATCCATCTTCAATTCATGCAGCACCTGCTAGTCTATCAGCTCTCTCATTACCAACAACACTTGCAAACCCTGGGACAAATATAAAGGTAACTGTACACACTGAGAGTTTAGCAATGACTCAAACCACTGTCTGTGTAACCAACCTGCCTCGACCCGCCTGATCATGCTCAAAGAATCACTGAGCACACACTCGGGAATAGTCCTGTGATTCCAGCCACATGAAAGCCTGTGTCCCATGCGCACTGTCTTGTGACTTTCAGTGACAGTGCTCTTGCTCATTTACCAGGCTTGGTAGACAAGCTGATGAAAGAATCTGTTCTTGTCATTCATCAACAGTAAAGTTCTGGCACTCCTCTAATCCAGCCTATGGGCCAGCAGCAGGTTGTTTCAATTAAGTACTGAGACTGATTTTATTATGGCCAGGACAAAAGTGCCATTTATGAAGCAAAGCATGGAATCTAAAGAGGCAACATTTATCTATGATCTGGCATTTTAAAAAATCGCTGCTCAATAAGCAAACAACAAATAAGCCGCCATTTTCTTGACCTAGTCAGAGGTGCATTGTCACGTAATCAGCACAGAGCAAAAAATTGAAATTAAATTCTTTTTAAAACAGAAAAAGCACCATTGAAACAGTTGAATTGATGCAACAAGTTTATAGGGGTAATTGTTTATCTTGTGCACAAATTTTCAGGTGGTATTCACGATTAAAAAAGTGGTGTGGAAATGATTACTAATGCACCTAGACGCCATATTTATGTTTGTAATGATGAACTAATTCCAAAGTCAGAGAACGGATACAAGAAGATCATTGTTTTAGTGTGAAGATGATGACAGATGAATCTGGCGTTAATAGAGAGACCAATCATAACATTTTAGTGCAAGATTTTGGCAAGAAAAAAGTTGCTTGCTGGTAGTACACATTGGTTGTCTGATGACCACAAACATCAGTGGGTTGAGTACCCAAGAAACATCATCCAAACAAGATTTTTGGCCCCAAAAACAAGAGTGTGTTCTCAGTCTTCCAGCCTATATCCCAGATTTGTCTCCCTGTGATTATTGTCGATTCCCAATATAAAGTTATGATTGAAAAGGCGCTTCTTTATTGGCATTAATGACATACAAAGGGCTGTAACATTGAATTTAAGGGCCATAACAACAGAACTACAGAGGTCATTCCAGTGTTTTTTAGATCGTACCACTTGCTGTATCGATGTACAAGGGGCTTACTTTGAATCAGATACAGATTATATTTTCGTGTTGATTGTTTCAATATTTATGGAATTAATCTCATTACTTAATTGTCGGACCTTGTACACAACAGCAATGTTTCAAAGCTGTTTTGAAAGGACCTCTTACACACACAAAACCTCTTCAGAGTCTTCCAATATTAAACAATGTAAAAAATATAACGGATTGAAGTAATTTACAGCACAATAAACTGGGGGTGGAGACAATTGTGGCCAGACTGTGAAGTACATAAAGACTGAGGCTTCGAGATAGTGGGCTGGCCTTGTGGTTATTATACAGAGTGAGTTCTCCAACTCAGGGAAGAACAGTTCAAACCATCCAATTTCAGGAAACAAATAATTAGTCAGCTTCTTGAACACATTTGTTAGATAACTGTCAATCCTTGGCTCCCACCCCACCACCTAACTGTCAGTCTTTGACTCCCATGCCACCAACTTACTGTCAGTATTTGACTCCCACTTCACCAACTTACTGTTAGTCTTTGACTCCACCCCATTACCTTACTGTCAGTCTTTGACTCCCACCCCATCACCTTACTGTCAGTCTTTGATTCCCACCCATCACCTTACTGTCAGTCGTTGACTCCCACCCCACCACCTTACTGTCAGTCTTTGATTCCCACCCATCACCTTACTGTCAGTCTTTGACTCCCACCCCACCACCTTACTGTCAGTCTTTGACTGCCACCACACCACCTTGCTGTCAGTCTTTGATTCCCACCCTATCACCTTACTGTCAGTCTTTGATTCCCACCCCATCACCTTACTGTCAGTCTTTGACTCCCACCCCATCACCTTACTGTCAGTCTTTGACTCCCACCTCATCAACTTACTGTCAGTCTTTGGCTCCTACCCCACCACCTTACTGTCAGTCTTTGATTCCCACCCCATCACCTTGCTGTCAGTCTTTGACTCCCACCTCATCAACTTACTGTCAGTCTTTGACTCCCACCCCATCACCTTACTGTCAGTCTTTGACTCCCACCTCATCAACTTACTGTCAGTCTTTGATTCCCACCCCATCACCTTACTGTCAGTCTTTGACTCCCACCTCATCAACTTACTGTCAGTCTTTGACTCCCACCCCATCACCATACTGTCAGTCTTTGATTCCCACCCCATCACCTTACTGTCAGTCTTTGACTCCCACCCCATCACCTTACTGTCAGTCTTTGACTCCCACCCCATCACCTTACTGTCAGTCTTTGACTCCCACCCCATCACCTTACTGTCAGTCTTTGATTCCCACCCCATCACCTTACTGTCAGTCTTTGACTCCCACCCCCATCACCTTACTGTCAGTCTTTGACTCCCACCTCATCAACTTACTGTCAATCTTTGGTTCCCACCCCACCACCTTACTGTCAGTCTTTGATTCCCACCACACCACCTTACTGTCAGTCTTTGATTCCCACCACACCACCTTACTGTCAGTCTTTGACTCCCACCTCATCAACTTACTGTTAGTCTTTGACTCCCACCCCACCTGCTTACTTACTGTCTATTTATGGCTTCCACCACCTTGGTCGCCAAAATGGGGTCCCAAAATCCACAAAAGAAGAGACCATTGAATTTAACAGGTTTATTTACATGTACGCTATACTCCTATCGCTGGACTAAGAAATCAACATCAGGATAGGTAAGGCCGCAAACAACAATGAGCAGATTGACAAAGAGAGTTTGGGAGAACGGAAAGCTGACAATTAAAACAAAACCCTTTGTCTATCAGGTTTGTGTTCTCAGCACTCTGCTTTATGGCAGTGAAACTTGGTCAACCTATTTGCATCAGCAGAGACTGCTAAATAGCTTTCACATGCGATGCGTAAGAAGAATACTTGGCATTAAGTGGCAGGACAAAATCACAAACACTGAGGCACTGGAAAGAGCAGGTACTACAACAGTCTTTTCCATGCTAGGTCTACGAAGGCTCAGGTGGCTGGGTCACACCTGGAGAATGGAAGATGGCAGGGTCCTAAGGACATCCTTTAAAGTGAATTAAAGACAGGATAAAGATGTGGAGGCCGACCTCTACTACGATATAAAGATGTGTGCAAGTGGGACATGAATGATACAGGTATTGAGGTGGACTCATGGGAACAAAATGCCATGAACCGTGTTGATTGGAAAAGGCATATCAGGAAGGGAATGAGAGTGAAGGAAGAAATGATTGCAGAAGGAATGAGAGTGGATCGTCTGAAAAGAAACGGATTTAACACGAATGTTGACTCAAATGGTCTGGAAATCCCATGTTATCATTGTGGAAGACTTTTCTTGACACGGGCGGGTCTTGCTAGTTACACTCACCATCGCCATAGGCTGTGAGTATCATGCCTCCTCATAGCGCAAAATAACACTATTGCCTCAAAAGACAGAAAAGTGCCAATCGAATCAAATCAAATCGGTATACTCCCCTTGAAAAAGGAAATGCACAAAAAAATAAAAACTTTCGTCATAACATAAAATCCACCAATATATTGTAATGATCCATTCAAGATCTGCTCCGTAAATTGGATGTAAAATACTGCCTTGTATCAGACTCCTAAATAACTGAGGATCCCCAGCCCTTCACTCGCTGTCATTTGTTATGATAAGCGATTTTTTAATGAAAAATTATTTTTTTAAATAACTCTGCATGCTTCTTTGAGGTAAAAAAAATAGTTGAACTGCACTGCACTAGTGAACAGATATAAATCTAAAACCTAGTTGCACACACACAAAACTAAACACTTGGGTCTGCAAATGATTAAACTGGCACAGATATAAAACAGATTTAAACATAGCACAAAACATACTAGAAACACAAATAACTTGTTCATATCATGAAAGTTCTGAGAGAACTGTGTTAACTTCTTGTTCATCCAGAACTATTCGCAGACTGACTCCCCGAATGTCGAAATCAGAGATGTTGACTCTTGAAAAAAACATGTCCTCCATCTTTGTAAGCAAGCTTTTGTCAGCGATTTCTTGCTGAAGACGCTTGACTTGTGCCCGCTTCATGCATATGTTGATGACGAGAATGGAAGACATACCAGACACAACATCTAATACAAGGGTCCCACGATCTTGCTCAAAGTATCTGATGATCTCATTTTGAACTACCTGGACAATTCTTTCACACAACAATGAAGCCTTCTGCTGGAAATGCCTCCCGTTTGACTTCCACTGCTCACACATGATACCGATATTGCCAGATTGTCTTGTTGGTGAAGCCAACTCCTCCTGGCCAGCCCGGAGTTTGATGAGTTCCAGTTTTGGGTCATATTCCATGATAATTGGGTCCCAGGATTCTTTATCCCGCTGTGGACCCTGAACAGAAAACGGGCCACCAAATCCAACATAAGGCTGGGGCTGTGAAGTGTCTGATGACTGAAGAGTATAAGCAGTTAAGCCCAAAGTCATTTTAGGAGCACCATAATCTCCAGAGATGTCACTCACTCGTTGAGCCTGATGAACAGAAGGTTGTGATGCGTCCACACTGCTTGTTACTGGATGTTTCCCAGACACTTTCCATTTAGACTTGGATACCTTTGGCTTCTTGATGTGATGTTTGTCTTTACTCTTACCAATATCTTTCTTTGAACTTTCAGTTACAGAAACTTTGGTTGAGTTTTCTTTCAGCTTCTTGTTTTTCTCTTGTGATTTTGTTCTGTGTGGTTTAGTTTTCGTATCCTTGCTTTGTTCTTCTGCAGGCTTTGAAAACTTTTCAGGAGATGAGGATTGTTTCTGATGGCTTGGCTTGTGCATTTCATGTTTCCTCTCTTTCTCTGTATCCTTCTTGGATATAGACTTGATTTTGCTTTTATAGGAAAAGCAAAAACACCAGCATGATCTGGGCTTAACAAAATCTTCCTCATCTGAGGCATCCTTTACGACTACACCTGAGTCATCTGTTTTCTGTCGGCCTGGCGTCCCTAGGAGAGATGTGTCTACAATCTTCTCGGAGCGAGGTTCTCTTGGGGCAATAATTTTCAGAGACTCAATCTCTATTTTAATGGTCAGCTCTCCTGAAACAGTTAACAAGTGAAAAAAAGAAAGTTATTAGAAATAATAAATTACTTTTATTCAGTTACTGCAACAATCAGATTTAAAAAAAAAAAAAGATGACTGTCACTGGCTACATTGAGTATTATCAGTTGATACTTGATCATAATAGTTGTTTCAGATCATTTTAATGTTGCTATAATTGATCATTATAACTAAATTACTTATCGGTTACTACTGGTTGCTTAAATGTTGCTTCAACTGATCATTATAACTAAATTACTTATTGATTATTACTGGTTGCTTTAATATTGCTATAATTGATCACTATAACTGATTACAATAACTAAATTTGGGCCGCATTAGTGCAGTCGATAGAAGACTTGCTTTCAAATCCAGCTGCGAATCGTTGCAGCCCACGGTTGGTGTTCCAAACCGGACAGTTCCAGGGTTCACCCAGCCTCTAGGAAATTGGAGCCAGAGTTAACACTCTGGGGTAAATGGATTAATGTCACCTTAGCCCTGGAGTTTTGTGCAGACGGTGACACATGCGACAGTTTCTTATCAGCTGTCTGTATCGGTGGCAGAGCACTTATGCTTTATAATCGTGTGCAATGACGCTGGTTCACATCTCCCCACATTACTTTTTCCCCTTTCACAATAACTAAATCACTTATCATTTGTTACTGGTCACGTCCATATTGCTTTAACTGATGAGTTTAATGTTGCTATAACTGATCGCTGTAACTAAATCACTTATGTTTTGTTAATGGTCACTTTAATGTTGCTATAACTAGGGCTGTACCGAATCGTGATTTTCATTATTCGGCCGGATACGAATAGCTGGACCAACTATTCGGCCGAATACGAATAGTGAATCATCATCATCGGGTGCTTTGCCAACTGGCATGGGCGATTATGCCTCGCCACAATCTGCGATCTCCTGCAGCATGTATTAGTTCGTGTGCTGACACACCTCCATGCCATGCAACAAGACTGTCAAAAATCTTCTCTAGATGTCTTTCTCTATCCCTCCTTCCACAGATCTTTTCAGTGGTCACCACATGTTCTATTAACATGGCCGAAAAATGATGACTGTCTCCTTCTGATGTCTGTGAGTAGTTGTCTTCAGGCTCCTGCCTCTTTCAAAACCTTTTGGTTGCTTTTTTTTTGGGCTGTCTAAGGTATTTTAATCTGTAAAACCACATCTCTGAGGCCTCAACATTTTTTTTTATCCTGCCTACCGATTGTCACAGCCATATGTTAAAACTGGATGTATGTAGCAAGCAAGAATTCTTTTTCTAACCTTCAATGACAAAGATATATTGCATAAGATGTTCTTCATTTTATAAAATGCAGTTTTTGAAGATTCTGTTTATTATTTCACTAATGAATCTTCTATCTGATGTTATCCATGTGCCAAGATACTTACATTTCTGTACTTGTCCCAAAATAAAACCATTGACTTTTATTACACATTTAGGAATAATTATTTTCTTTGATACCACCATTACTTCTGTCTTCCCACTATTCAAACTGAGGCCCATTCTTCCACTTTCCAATAGTGAATAAAATAGATCTAAACAAAAAAACATCCATAATGTCAAATCTTCACAAAATGTAGTACAGGATAGTAAACATTTAAAAACATTTCATGTTTTGCATCCTTCAGTCAGTCAGTCTGTGGTAACTAATACCTAGAAATGAAAGTGTTCTTAGTTTTATAACAAGTAACTAAACTTGTAAATTGTCACTGACAGCTTAGTTAATCCATTAAAGCGGCATTAGCTTAAAAAAAAAAAATTGTTCCATGTTGTTAGCATTAAGGCAGCTTCTTGTCTCACTGAAGATATTTCCAGCTGTACTAAACAGATGTTCACTTGGTACGCTCGTAGGTGGTGCACAAAGATAACGCTTGACAGTATGAACCAAGGTGGGAAATCTTGATATGTTTATTTTCCACCAGTCCAGAAACGGGTGTAAAGTAACCACTATTCATATTCGGCCTGAACGCAACTATTTGGCCAAATACTGAATAGTTATTAGGTCCACTTTTCGGCCCCGAAGTGAATATGAAGCGAGTATTCGGTACAGCCCTAGTTGTAACTGATCGCTATCACTAAATCACTTATCAGTTGTTATTGGTCATTTACCAGTTGCTATTATAGGTTGGTGTCACAAGTGATCAATATAACTGATCCTATGTTAGTTGTAACAAGTCACATAGCAGTTGTCACAAGTTATCAATACAGCTGATCCTGTGTCAGTTGTGACAAGTCACTTAGCAGTTGCAACAAGTTATCAATACAGCTGATCCTGTGTCAGTTGTGACAAGTCACTTAGCAGTTGCCACAAGTTATCAATGCAGCTGATCCTGTGTCAGTTGTGACATGTCACTTAGCAGTTGTGAAATAAAAAACAAACCAAAACAAGTAAGAAAAGAGAAAATTTGCTTGCTAACAAACAGGTGAAATGTTCAAACAGCAATATTCTATACCTTTACGTCTGTCTTTTTTTTCTCACTAATATGCAAGTAAAATGTTAAGACAACTATATTTTATACCTTTATGTCTGTCCTTTCCGAAATACCCACTGCCAGATACTGGTTGGATTCTTTGTTCCGTGTCTAAAGAGCTTGCCAAGTGGAGCTGTCCTGATTGACGCAGGGCATTGATAAATAGCGCCACCGCTGTGTTTCCATGTTCCTCAACATGTCTCAGAATGGCAGAGTTCCGCTGGGTGATGGAAGCTTTGTCATCTGGCAGATCAAAAAAAGGATAAAAAGTTGAAGCACAGTGGTCTCCAGACATATTTTTGTGATAAATGTCAATTATCAGTTCAATTCAGGTCAAACTACAAACTCTAGGAGACATTGTAGAAGAGCATCTACCAGACTTGTGGGGACAACAAGAACAGACCCACTGCCTCACAAAACAAGCATGTCCTAAGAGTCAAGTCCAGTTGACTAACTTGGTGTTTCCTCCCAAGCTGTAGTATTTCTGACTGAGAGGCCAGGAACGACACAAATAAGTTAGTAAATTGGATGTACACACAAATAACCCAGTAAAATGGATGTACACACAAATAACCCAGTAAATCTGATGTACACACAAATAACCCAGTAAATCGGATGTACACACAAATAACCCAGTAAATTGATGTACACAAAAATAACCCAATGAAATGTATGTATACACAAATAAAGGGAGAGATGATAGACAAATTATACAATCTGATATCACAGTTATTAATAAAGCACACTTAAAATATATTAACCTTAACAAACAATCTTATAAAATATGTAACAAATAATACATGACCTATGCAATATTAAAAAACCAAAAAGTTTTTAACAAACAAATAAAAATAATATCAAACAGAGCAAACTATTCCAATTATAACAGATATGTGATACACTACATACAGTGGCTTAAATACAACACTGAGTCTGTATTCTTTCATGGCTAGATCTTGTAAAATATGTTTCCTTATTCTTGATCCAAAGCACTTTAAATAATCGTATGCTTCAAAGCACTTAACTTTCCGTATGTTTTTGTTGAATTATTGTGAACAGATCCTTGATTTACATCTAATCCATGTTTTGTTTGCATTACTGTGAGCAGATCCTTTATTTATATCCAATCCTGTGATTGTGAACAGATCTTTGATTCACATCCAAACCATGTTTTGTTACAGGATTAAATTCATCATCCTTGATATACATTCAATCCATTTTTTTATTTGCATGACTGTGAACTGATCTTTGCTTTACATCAATTCCATATTTTGTGTGTAGGATTGTGAACGGTTTCATTATTTACATCCAATCCATGTTTTACAGAATGATTATGAAGTGATCTTTAATTGACCTAACCTGTGACCATGAACTGTTCCTTGAATGACATCAATGTGATGCCACAGTAAAAAGCATGTTTTGACTTCTTCTATACACAGTTATGTGATTAGAATCATTCACATGCATTCTGCTCACCCCTTCCCCCCACACACACTTACAGCACACATACACACTTATGCACATGTATACCCTTACACCTCACATACAATCGCACTCACACATAGAATTACAGATACTGGCACACTCTCATACCAATACACGCCTAACACCTACACTCGCACACACACACTCACAACACTCATACCAAAACACGCCTACCACCTACACTCCTTTAATCTCATACCAATACACGCCTAACACCTACATTCCTATACTCTCATACCAATACACGCCTAACACCTACATTCCTATACTCTCATACCAATACACACCTAACACCTACATTCCTATACTCTCATACCAATACACACCTAACACCTACATTCCTATACTCTCATACCAATACACACCTAACACCTACACTCCTTTAATCTCATACCAATACACACCTAACACCTACATTCTTATACTCTCATACCAATACATGCCTAACACCTACACTCCTACACTCTCATACCAATACACACCTAACACCTACATTCCTATACTCTCATACCAATACATGCCTAACACCTACACTCCTACACTCTCATACCAATACACACCTAACACCTACACTCCTACACTCTCATACCAATACACACCTAACACCTACACTCCTACACTCTCATACCAATACACGCCTAACACCTACACTCCTACACTCTCATACCAATACATACCTAACACCTACATTCCTACACTCTCATACCAATACACGCCTAACACCTACACTCCTACACTCTCATACCAATACACACCTAACACCTACACTCTCATACCAATACACGCCCAACACCTACACTCGCACACTCTCATACCAATACATGCCTAACACCTACACTCCTACACTCTCATACCAATACACGCCTAACACCTACACTCGCACACTCTCATACCAATACATGCCTAACACCTACACTCCTACACTCTCATACCAATACATGCCTAACACCTACACTCCTACACTCTCATACCAATACACGCCTAACACCTACACTCGCACACACACACTCACAACACTCATACCAATACACGCCTAACACCTACACTCGCACACTCTCATACCAATACACACCTAACACCTACATTCCTATACTCTCATACCAATACACGCCTAACACCTACACTCCTACACTCTCATACCAATACACGCCTAACACCTACACTCTCATACCAATACACGCCCAACACCTACACTCGCACACTCTCATACCAATACACGCCTAACACCTACACTCCTACATTCTCATACCAATACACGCCTAACACTTACACTCCTACACTCTCATACCAATACATGCCTAACACCTACACTCCTACACTCTCATACCAATACATGCCTAACACCTACACTCACACACTCTCATACCAACACACGCCCAACACCTACACTTTCATACAAATACACGCCTAACACCTACACTCTCATACCAATACACGCTTAACACCTACACTCTCATACCAATACACGCCCAACACCTACACTCGCACACTCTCATACCAATACACGCCTAACACCTACACTCCTACATTCTCATACCAATACACGCCTAACACTTACACTCCTACACTCTCATACCAATACACGCCCAACACCTACACTCACACACTCTCATACCAATACACGCCTAACACCTACACTCCTACACTCTCATACCAATACACGCCTAACACCTACACTCTCATACTCTCATACCAATACACGCCTAACACCTACACTCCTGCACTCTCATACCAATACACGCCTAACACCTACACTCCTACACTCTCATACCAATACACGCCTAACACCTACACTCCTACACTGTCATATCAATAAACGCCTAACACCTACACTCACACACTCTCATACCAATACACACCTAACATCTACACTCACACACTTTCTCGCACAAACATACTCACACTCTTATACCAATACACACCTAACACCAACACTCCCACACTTTCTCGCACATACATACTCACACACACTCTTATACCAATACACACCTAACACCAACACTCCCACACTTTCTCGCACATACATACTCACACACACTCTCATACCAATACACGCCTAACACCAACACTCACATACTCTCATACCCATACACGCCTAACACCTGCACTCACACACCAATACACGCCTAACATCTACACTCCTACACTCTCATTCTAATACACGCCTAACACCTACACTCACATACTAATACACGCCTAACACCAACACTCCCACACTCTCACATCAATACACCCCTAACACCTACACTCACACACTCCCATACCAATACATGCCTAACACCAACACTCCCACACTTGCATACCAATATACGCCTAACACCTACACTCACACACTCGCATACCAATACACGCCTAACACCTACACTCACACACTCTCATACCAATATACACCTAACACCTACACTCACACATTTTCTCGCACACACATTCTCACACACGCTCATACCAATACACACCCAACACCTACACTCACATACCAATACACGCCTAACACCTACACTCCCACACTTGCATACCAATATACACCTAACACGTACACTCACATACCAATACACGCCTAACACCTACACTCCTATACTTTCATACCATTACATGCCTAACACCTACACTCTCATACCAATACACGCCTAACACCTACACTCTCATACCAATATACGCCTAACACCAACACTCCCACACTCGCATACCAGTACACGCCTAACACCAACACTCACACACTCTCATACGAATACACGCCTAACACCAACACTCTCACACTAGCATACCAATACACGCCTAACACCAACACTCCCACACTAGCATACCAATATACGCCTAACACCTACACTCACACACTCTCATACCAATACACGCCTAACACCAACACTCCCACACTAGCATACCAATATACGCCTAACACCAACACTCCCACACTCGCATACCAGTACACGCCTAACACCTACACTCACACACTCTCATACCAATGCACGCCTAACACCTACACTCCTACACTAGCATACCAGTACACGCCTAACACCTACACTCACACACTCTCATACCAATACACGCCTAACACCTACACTCCCATACTTTCTCGCACATACATACTCACACACACTCATACCAACTATACCTTACCTAGACCAACTAAAATGACAGGGTCAAGGACGCCGTGATGCGAAAGATAATCCAAAATGGCGTCAGCGTCCAGGCCCTCCACCAGATCTTGCCGCTGGCTGAGACCGGTTGTGATCATTTCTGCAGCCTTGACATTGTCTGAAAAGTTCATTAAAGAATCATTTATTATCATTTGACTGAGCACTAGCTACGATTAGAGAGCCCGAGTGGTGGGGGGGGGGGGGGGGGGGGGGGGGGGGGTTGGGGAGGGGGGGTAGTAAAATAAGAAACGTTTTGATCCGAGTCTTTATCAACCAGTAACAGTAAGATGAATTCTAGACACAAGCTCCCAAACTGAAGAGTTAAGTTCAACTGTCAACACAATCTATTCAGAATACTGCAGTTATTCACTTTACAGTCAGGCACATTCTACTGTCAATGTTACTGTAACAATTAATTGTGTATGCTTTAGAGAACATTGAAAACCATATTATTCTGTGGTTTACACGATGCAGTTTTTACGTATAGTAGTTTGCGACTGCTTTCTAAAGGCTAGCACTCGATCATTATCATCATCATATGCTTTGCAGACTGGCGTTGGCGATCGTGCCTCTCCACAATCTACGATCTCCTGCAGCATGTATCAGTTCGTGTGCCGACACACCTCCCTGCCATGCAACAAAATTGTCAAGAATCGTTGTCTTCCTCTATCCCTCCTTCCACAGATCTTTCCAGTGGTCACAACATGCTCTATTTTCCCTCTTCTCATAACATGGCCGAAAAATGATGACTATCTCCTTCTGATGTCTGTAATAAGTTGTCTTTGGGCTTCCGCTTCTTTCAACCCTCTTGGTTGCTCTTTTTGGCTATCCAATGTATTGTAAGCATTCTTCTGTAAAACCACTTCTCTGAGGCCTCAAGAAATTGTTTGGCCTGCCTACCGATTGTCACAGCCATATGTTAATACTGGATGTATGTAGCAAGCAAAAACTCTCAGTGACAAAGATATATTGCATAAGAAGTTAGCACTCGATACCACTGTCGAAATCAACGCAAATTTCTGGTGCCAAATCGCCCGGATATCTCGGAGCTACCAATCGTGTTAACAACCCCTAGGTAATGTAATTGTAGGGATGTTCGTGTCTGTTTCGTGGGTCCGCTGAACACAGACTATCAATAAGAAGCATAACAAAGGGGAAGGGGGGCACACACACACACACACACACCCACCCACCCACCCCCCCCACTCCCACCCACCCCCCACCCACCCACACACACACGCACGCACGCACGCACGCACGCACGCACACACACACACACACACACACACACACGCGCACGGTAACATTCCTTTATACTTTATCGACCAAGGACACACACGCACACGTTAACATTCCTTTATACTTTATCGACCAGGGACACACACGCACACACACGGTAACATTCCTTTATACTTTATCGACCAGGGACACACACACACACACACACACACACACACACACACGGTAACATTCCTTTATACTTTATCGACCAGGGACACACACACACACACACACGGTAACATTCCTTTATACTTTATCGACCAGGGACACACACACACACACGGTAACATTCCTTTATACTTTATCCACCAGGGACACACACACACACACACACACACACACGGTAACATTCCTTTATACTTTATCGACCAGGGACACACACACACAAACTAGAAATCCTCGCGAATTACAAATATTCGGAATAACAGATAATCAAATAACATCTGGAATGGAAGTGATCAAATAACATCTGGAATGGAAGTGATCAAATAACATCTGGAATGGAAGTGATCAAAGTGACAAGTGTCTGGATCCAAACGTGAATGGCGAGCATCTCGACTAGAACAGGGTGGGGTCATGGGTGCGACATAATGGGTTCAGACAAGTCTATGTAGCTACGTGTATGTAAATCCGGGGGGGGGGGCATGGGTGCGACATAATTTGTTCAGACAAGTCTATGTAGCTACGTGTATGTAAATCGGGGGGGGGGGGGGAGGTCATGGGTGCGACATAATTGGTTCAGACAAGTCTATGTAGCTACGTGTATGTAAATTCAGGGGGGGGGGGGGGGTCATGGGTCATGGGTGCGACATAATGGGTTCAGACAAGTCTATGTAGCTACGTGTATGTATATCCAGGGGGGGGGGGGGGTCATGGTGCGATATAATGTGTTCAGACAAGTCTATGTAGCTACGTGTATGTAAATCCGGGGGGGGGGGGGGTCATGGGTGCGACATAATGGGTTCAGACAAGTCTATGTAGCTACGTGTATGTAAATCCGGGGGGGGGGGGGGGTCATGGGTGCGACATAATGGGTTCAGACAAGTCTATGTAGCTACGTGTATGTAAATCGGGGGGGGGGGGGGAAGGTCATGGGTGCGACATAATGGGTTCAGACAAGTCTATGTAGCTACGTGTATGTAAATTCAGGGGGGGGGGGGCCACGGGTGCGACATAATGGGTTCAGACAAGTCTATGTAGCTACGTGTATGTAAATCGGGGGGGGGGGAAGGTCATGGGTGCGACATAATTGGTTCAGACAAGTCTATGTAGCTACGTGTGTGTAAATCGGGGGGGGGGGGGGTATACAGGAAGCACACAGCAACTTTACTTTTACAGAACCAAGTGCAATAAGCAAACAACGGGCGTTGCGGCCAGAAGACAAGAAACAAACTAAAATAAAAATGTCAAAATAAACCTCACTGAGGGTTACATTGACAAACACGTGACTACGCCCATCGTCTAAACGTAACTGGCGTCACTAGGGATTGACCAGTCAATGGCTATCTGGTTGTAGTGAATTTGGACAAATATTAATTGTGTAGGGGGACAAAACTTCATTAATGACACTACAGTATCTACAGGCATGCACATGTTTTGTGTCTAGTAGTAGCAGCCGTGTACCCAGTGTGTCCGTTCAGCATGTAAAAGACTTGTCATAACGCCAGTGGGTCTGGCTAGTCACACTCGCCATCGCCATGGGCTATGAATCTCAGGTCTCCCTTCGCCTACAGCACACATAAAACACTGGCACGGGAAATGCCAGCACATACAGCGTGTGTGTGTGTGTATATGTGTGTGTTGTATGTATACTTTTAAACCGCCACATGTCGAAAACGAGACAATTTATATAAATCGATTGCTTTGTGAGAAGTGGAGCCAACCTTCACTGTCGAGACGGCGCCCCATCTATTGTCTGACAATTAAAAAAAAAAACATATCGCCCGACTTTATTTTTTAATTAAAAATAAGAGTCAGACGTGGTTGTAACATTACAGCAGACTGGCTCTAAAAAACACGTGCTATTGAAAATTCACCCGTGAAGTGGATTTTTCAAATTTAACTGGGGGAAAAAAACGGCATTTTAAGTCAATTAATGGCCACAACGGAAAATTGGAACGACCAACGCGGTTAGCAACATACATCACGTACTGAACCTGTGTATTGTTTATTACTAGGCTAATCATACAACAAAGTGACCACGGCTCCCAGACCGACTCTGCCTCGGGTAGGTAGCAGGTGCAGTCCTGGGAGGTAGAGGCAGCCGACGTGATGTTGACTACAGATGCCTTACAAAATGTTTAGTTCCTCTAATTATACTAGCGAAAACCACAAATATTCACGCCATACCTAACACTTAGTCCATTTAAGCCCCTCCCCCCCCCCCCTTTTTTTTTTGGCGTTTAACTTGTATCTAGTCTTAAAACACACACAAAAAAGTAGCTTACCAAGTTTTAATTTCTCATGACATGCATTGCCGAGCATTCAACCGCAAAGTTGACATCAGCTGTAAATGGAGTGCAGTCAAACCACGACCTACAGAAACAATGGCCCCCGATCTGTTTTACCACTGTGACCTATTCTCCACGTCATCTGACAAACTGATTAGCACGGATATCATCTCGTGTGGAAACCCCTTCTCTGGCCCAGTGTTCTTCAACTTTTTCATATCCCCGGTCTGTCGGGAAAATTGTAACCACCCACAGAAACCAAATTGACGCGTACGATGCCACACTCATTTTACAGTAATAACATAGACGATAATGAGCTCCTGTCCTGATTCCCAGCCCAGACTGGACTACATGTTACGTTACTGTTCTGATGCCCAGACTGGACTACATGTTACGTTACTGTTCTGATGCCCAGACTGGACTACATGTTACGTAATGGTCAGGTGCCGCAATATAGCTTTTATGCAGTTGAGCGGTGTTTTCAGGAATCGTACTGGTAATATTCTTGTCCTTGAGGTGACCAATCCTGAACAATGACCTACTCAACCCCCTCACATGATTAGGCCGATATTTCTGGTGGGCCGCCTGGACCTTTCCGCGGCCCGTTTGTTGCGGACACTGCTCTTCTTCAACTTGTTCACACTTGCCGGCCAGCAAACATGGGACATTGTTTCACAGACTACCTGCCGGCCAGCAAACATGGGACATTGTTTCACAGACTACCTGCCGGCCAGCAAACATGGGACATTGTTTCACAGACTACCTGCCGGCCAGCAAACATGGGACATTGTTTCACGGACCACCTGCCGGCCAGCAAACATGGGACATTGTTTCACGGACCACCTGCCGGCCAGCAAACATGGGACATTGTTTCACGGACCACCTGCCGGCCAGCAAACAGGGGACATTCTTTCACGGACCACCTGCCGGCCAGCAAACATGGGACATTGTTTCACGGACCACCTGCCGGCCAGCAAACATGGGACATTGTTTCACGGACCACCTGCCGGCCAGCAAACAGGGGACATTGTTTCACGAACCACCTGCCGGCCAGCAAACATGGGACATTGTTTCACGGACCACCTGCCGGCCAGCAAACAGGGGACATTGTTTCACGGACCACCTGCCGGCCAGAAAACAGGGGACATTGTTTCACGGACCACCTGCCGGCCAGCAAACAGGGGACATTGTTTCACGGACCACCTGCCGGCCAGCAAACAGGGGACATTGTTTCACGGACCACCTGCCGGCCAGCAAACAGGGGACATTGTTTCACGGACCACCTGCCGGCCAGCAAACAGGGGACATTGTTTCACGGACCACCTGCCGACCAGCAAACAGGGGACATTGTTTCACGGACCACCTGCCGGCCAGCAAACAGGGGACA